AGACAGAGAGGGAGAGAAGAAGAGAAGAAGAAAATGGAGAGAAAAGAAAGAGATGGAGAGAATAAGAAGAAGAAGAAAAGGGAGATATGGCCAATTTCTAATAGGGGAGAAGAAAAGGAAAAAGTGAGAAATTGAGAGATGTAGAGAAGAGAAAAAAAAAAGAGAGTGGGAGATGAGAAAGTTGACGAAGAGAGGAAGTGGAATGAAGGAAAAATAATATTAAAAAGAGAGAGAGAGAGAGAGAGAGAGAGAGAGAGAAGGAAAAGAAGAAAGAATTAAAAAAAAGATTTTCTCCATGTTCTAAGTTCGCCCCAACTTTTAATTTAAATTTTCACAATTTCTAAGAAAACCCCACTATTTTCCCAAACAACTCTTAAATACACCCTAAGCTGAAAAAAAATAAGAAATAAAAGAAATTTTCTATTTAAACCCCATAAGCTACCCACTCTGCACATGAGAAATAATAAGGGTTAATTACAGTTTAGTACCCTATACTTACAATGTTAAGGCATGTTAGTCCCTGGCTTTTCAATTTTTACAATCGCATACCCCGAGCTTGTAAATTTGTTACAATCCGATTCCACTGTTAGGGTTTCGTCAGTTGTACCGTTAGTTGCTGATCTGGCACTGAAGGGGCCCACTTGTCCGCTAGTTTCGAAGTCCTTCCAAAGGAATTTTCGAACTTGGATTAATCAGCCTCTCCTGCCCTCACGCCCTCCAATGCGTCTTCAACAAATTAATCTCCAGATTACCAAAAAAAATCTTCCACACTTTGCAAATCTTCCACTTGATTTCCGTTAGACGTTGGAGAGGACGACAACACAGAGCCGATTGAGAGAAGGCTACGATGAGTTGGGATCCACAACCACTTGGAGAGGAAGACCTAGTTTACGATATGTGGGGATAGAGGTTTGGTTTGAATTTTTTTCTAGATAAAGGTTTCGAAGTTCACATATTTGGATATTAGGGTTTTAATATTGATTTATTTGGGGGTTTAGGATTCTAAGTTCGATTTTTTGGGGAAATCGTTTCAAAGTTCGCATATTTGGGGAAGAGGGTTTTAATATGGGGTTTTTTTTTTTTTGGGTTAGGCTTCTGAGTTCACAGTTGTGGGGATAAGGGTTTCCCAATTCGCATATTTGGGGTTTTCTGGTTGTTGTCAGTGGCCTTTATGTAAGGAAAGTTGGTCTGTGGTCCTACTGTAACCTATGTGATGTTTAGCATTTGGTGTGGAAAGTGACTTTACAATGTTTAATAATTCAAACCCGGTGGTATAGTAAAGTGCATTGTAAAAGTGTTTGCTTGGATTTTTCTATGTGGTAATTGTTTAGTTGGTGATTTCTATGAATGTCTATAAATCCATGCAATGTGTAATAGTAGCCTAATGTTGGATTATCTATGTATGCAGACGATGATTGCTTATTTAGCATTCGAATTCACCAAGGTGGAAGACTGATACACAAGTACTATGTGGATGGAACTGTTACTTACTTTGATTATGTGGATAAAGACAAGATGTCTTTAACTGAAATAGACTGCATGGTTGTGTATTTGGGGCACATTGGTAGGATTGATTAGAGGGTTGAAGATGAGGGTGATTTGAAAAGGGTGGAGTTTGACTCAAAAGTTATTCAAATGTGTGAAAATGTGCTTGAGGTTAGGATGATTAACATGTACATGGATCATCTGGACAACCTTGATGATGTTATGAATAACCAGACTGATTCTAACATGTATTGCCAGTATTCTTCACAAGTATATCATTATGTTGATGATGTGAGAAGTCCAGGTGTTGTCCTTCAAGAGCTACCAGAGTTTGATAAAGCAATTGTTGTGCATGATAAGTTGGATAAAGCTATATCCAATGAGGTACACAAGACTAGGAAACCAACTCCATCAATGAATTTAGCTACTGCTAAAGGCAAAGAAAAGGTGGCAGCAGTTGATGAAGGCAGTGTACAACATGAGACAAACAAAGCTACTTCTAAAGGGAAAGAAAATGTGGCAGAAGTTGATGAAGGGTGTGTACAACATGATACCACCAAAGCTACTTCCAAAGGCAAAGAAAACGTGGCAGAAGTTGATGAAGGGTTTGTAGATGCTGAGATCAATAAAGTAAGAACATTTGTTAGGAAGAGGAACCCCTCAATTCAACAAGAAGCTGATGATGCTGAGGATTCTTCAGAAACTGATGATGAGAGTGACCCTAACTTTGTGGATAATGAATATAGTATTGATGAGGATGATGATGATGAAGTCTTCTTACATGAGGTTGACATAGATGGTGAGTGGAGTGGAGCAAATGCTGAGCAATCAGTACCAAAGCCTTCAACTATGGAAGACTTTGTGGATAATGAAGACATGTTTGCAGACACAGATGATGAGCAGCACCTTAGGAGAGCACCACAATCAGCTAAGGAGAGCACTGGTCATAGATTCCTAGAGTTTAATCCTTCTTGTGACATGGGAACTGTCGAGTTTGAAGTTGGCATGCAGTTTGCAGATAGTTCTAGCTTCAGAAAGGCTCTGAAGGCCATTTCAATTAAAGAATGATGGGAAATATGTTAGATGAAGTATGAGAAGTATAGGATTAGGGCAATTTGTGCAGTTGAGAATTGTCCTTTTGAGATTTATGCATCCAAGATGCAACATGAAGACACTACAAGTGAAGAGACTAGATCCCAAACACACATGTAGCAGGGTATGGGAAAACAAAGGGATAAGATCTTCATGGTTGGCTCAAACATTTGTGGAGGAGGTGAAGACAAACCCTACTGTACCAATGGTGTCCTTGAAGGCAATAATGCAGAGGAATATTAACAATGGAATATCACTGTCTAAGGCTTAGAGGACAAAGAATAAAGCTTTGAAAATCCTAGAATGTACCATTATTGCACAATATGCTAGACTCTAGGACTATGCTGCAGAATTGAGGAACACAAATCCTAGAACAACAGTGCAAATCAAATGTGATTTCAGTGCATTGTTACAGAGGCCTATGTTCCAAAGAATGCACATTTGCTTGGGTGCCTGTAAGGAGGGATTCAAGGCTGGATGCAGACCTGTAATAGGACTAGATGGGTGCCATTTGAAGAGTCCTCATGGAGGCCAGTTGTTGTTAGTTGTTGGTCTAGATGCCAATAATATGACATGGGTTATTGCTTATGCTCAAACTTCAATTTGGTATACAAGAGAAAAATATTGAAGGATGCAATGTGGAGGGCTGCATTTGCAACCACAGTTCTAGAGTTTAGAAGGACAATGGAAGTGTTGAGGACATTAGATGGTGAAGCTTATACATAGCTAATTGGTAATGTTTGAAGAGCATTTGCAACCATAGTTATTTGTCTATAATTGAACTCAATGTACATTTATGTGAAACAGCTCCAGAGAGACCACCAAGACATTGGTCAAGGGCACATTTCAACACTACTTTGAAGTGTCCAATACTATTGAAAAATCTATGTGAGTCTTTTAATTCCTGGATAATGTCAGCTAGGTGTAAGCCAATAATTTCAATGATTGAGGAGATTAGGGTTAAGTTGATGAGAAGGATATAGATGAGAAGAGATTTGATGATGAGATGGGAGCGTGCAATATATACCAGGCCCTTAGCAAAGCTTGAAATCAACAAAAAAACAAGCTGTTGATTGCATTGCTACTATGTCTGGAGGACCCAAGTTCCAAGTAGATATTGTAACTGGTGGGCAGTTTATCGCTGATTTGGATGAGAGGACCTACTCATGCAGGAATTGGGATTTATTTTGTGTCCCATGTAAGCATGCTGTGTCAGCTATTAACCACAAGAGAAGGAATGGGCCTGACACTTATATAGACAAGTGTTACATGAAGGAGACATTCCTAAAGGCATATGAGAACATTATACAACCTGTGAATGGAATTGACCTATAGGAAAGAACAGATTTCCCAGAAATCTTACCTCCTATGTACAATAGACAACCAGGCAGACCACCCAAGTATAGGAGGAAAGAGGCTGGTGAAAAAGAGACCAAGACAGGTGGGAAGAAGCTAGGAAGATACTAAGACTCTCTCAAATGTGGTACATGTGGCCAAAAGGGTCATAATTCAGTAACATGTCATAGACATAAGCCACCAAATGAAAAAAAACCAATCTGGAAA